GCGTCGATGTAACGAACATAAACTATTAATAGTGAGACACAATAATTTGACACACTCGAACACATTTCTCAAAAAAACATGTACATCGAAACGTCGAATTTTTCGCAAACTTGTGGGATTGAATGCCACATAAGCTCGTCCGCGTCTGGTAGGTACACAAGTGTTTTCTAGTGATGAATGTTAAGCGGAGCGCGGCGGGGGCGCGCGCGGATTTCATGTTGTGACTTGCCGATACTTGTACTCGTATAATCTGCGATTGACGACGCCGGGTTGACATAACAAGTGAATATGATATTTAATTTCTAATTTTATGCGTGTAAATTAATAATCACATTGTAATGTTATTTGTTAATGTTGTTTGTTTTTTTTGTCTAAAATGCAAACGCTTTCCGCCCCTTGACATCTCTCTATGTCCTCCTTGGGAGGCGCGCCCCTCTGGTTTCACTAAATAACAGAATGTACATCATTAACAGGACCAGATATATCCAAAATGACAGGCAGATCTGATATGTTTTTACTGTCCTACATGAATGCTAGCGAAGTATTGAGGCAGTCTATTTACCTCACTTATGCCGTTACAAATCTCGGATTAAACTATAACTAGAAATATTTGCATAGTTGATCAATAATAAAGGCGCATGCAAAACGAGTGTTTCTACGAAAATATACATACTTCCATGCTTCCGTAGAGTTTCGTGATTCATTTTCTTTTGATAACTGCAGCGAGGCACAAACATGGATATACGAAAGTACAGATTGAGGCAACAGCAATGCGTTATTGGCAATGTATTTAGTTTTTATACTGTAGAACCTAAAGTCCCAAGTACCACGACTGCTATAAAGATGTTAGGTCAACTGGATTTTTGAACTGGATGTTGCTAAGTTGCTATCATATACTTTAGTATTATACAAGATGTTAATTAAATATATACCATTCATTTAACATATGATTCTTTGGGTAATTTTAAGACAAAGAGTTCATATAAACATGGTCCGCAAATTCCAATCGCTGGATTGGGAGAGCAGGCCTACACCTATGGCCCCCTCGCTCGTCCGATATGAAACCCTCAGATTATTTTTCTGTGGACAACTTAAAGCGCTGATATGAAAAACTCTTATTGAAAGTGAAGAGGATATACGGAATAGAACTATTAATTCATGTGACATAATAAAAAATACGTAAGGTATTTTCAGGAGAGTAATTCAGTGATGAGCGGGCTAGACGATTGTATTGAAGTTGAAGGGGGGGCATTTTCAACAATTTAGTGAAATTTGTTAGTCTACATGTTAATGTTATTTAGTACTTGTTGTTATATATATATATATATAAGGGGCCGTTCAAGTATTACGTAAGCAGATTTATTACAATTATTTACCCCCCCCCATCCCCGTTGTCAGCAAAAGAAAACAAAGCTCTTACCCCCTCCCCCCATGCTTACGTAAACGTTTGTCAATTAATGTATTGTTTTTTTTAATATTATAATTATAACGTTATAATTATAATTTGAAAAATAAGAAAATAGACTTAGGATAGAGATTATATTTTACTGATAGAGTAAAGGACAAAAATATTATATCTTACTAACATAACAAACTTATTTTAAATTTTTGGTACATATATTAAATTCAAATTAAGTCATCAGTCCATGAAACCCGAATCCATGGTTCTAAGTTTTCATCGGATTTTGGAATGTCTACGTCGTTCTCATCGAGCCATTCCACATCATGGTGCTCTAAATTTTGAATAATACGCATCAGTTCATTAGCACGACGAGCAGCGACTCTTACAGGTCTAACTTTCCTATCAGTGTGTGTTTACTTTTTTATGGATATTTTCGATGTGACGATTTAGTGACTTGACGGAAGCATGTTAAAGACCACACGTTTTGCATGTTCGACTTGATAGCCTCAATTTTACCGTCGTACAAAAATAATCGTAGGGCATTTGCAGGAAATCTTTGGGTGAAGCACTTAAGCGTAGAGCTTCATCCAAAACCAAGTCATCAACTGTTTGTTTTACTTTTACAGGTGGTGGAAGAAACCTATTGTCTAGTAACCTAAATGGGCCACTTCTTGGACGACAGCATTCTGTATTTCTACATTTTACAATTTGAAGCAAGTATTGGCTCTCACGCACATGTTCTGAATACCATTTAACGTCTGGAAAATCAGGAAGATCTTGTTCACCTGCCCCAACATGTTTTGCATTAACATTATAGCCATCAATTTCCATTGAACTCCATACTTCAGCTAATACATTTCCTGCAAATTCGAAATTAGATCTTTCTAAATGTTCATCAATTGTAACGCCACGTTCATCCAAATGAGACCCAAAATGGTCATGAGGCAATATTAAACCAGCCAGTTCCCGAGTAAGAGGAGCCATTCTGCGCTCTACTCTGTTATACGCACTTCTTCCAGGAGCATTGGTAGCTAAAAACAATGCATCGAGATCATGTCGCTTAAAGTGTTGTATAGCAAACCCTATGACTTTTTGATAACGTGGATTTTCATCTGGCCCTTCATCAACCGTCATGATTACCACTGGTTTTACTAGTCCATGGTCAGTTTTAGCTAATGGTCGAAACTCTTCAAGTTCGAGAAGCGTCTCGAAATCCTGAGCATGAGTATTAGCAGTAGATGAACTATACTTCGAATAGCGATGTATGTTGGTCCAGAATTTCCAACGGCTTGCCGTTGTCCTAGCATATTGGAAGTGATTTTGATACCAGCAAAAATAGATGGTATTAATTTATGACGCTCAGCAATTACCCAATCGTGATCAGGCAATTTGATTCTATATTCCATGTGCATTAGAAGAGGTGCTTGCCTTGCTTATTTGCCGCAGTTACGCCAATAGGGACTCCAGCTTTATCATCTCGAGATATGAAAAATACTTGATATGGTCCAAGTATGGATGCTATGTTCTCTAAATAATGGATTGATGTTTCAGCGAACTTGCTATCTAAGTGGCTCTTGTGGTGATCAGTTTGAGCCCGAATGAGCTTAACAGGGACTGTCGATACATGTCTTCGTCCCTCTGCAGAATTAGATTTTCTGGGAATCAAACGAAGATATGTCCCACTGCGACTAATGTCAAATCCTATTTTACGTAATTCTTGTGTGAGTTCATCAAGAGTTTTTACGCTGCAAATTGATTCCGTTCGTCTTCTATCATCTGCTGCACTCCCAAATAGAGCTATATCAGCGATTGTTTTCAATAGTGAATGTTGATTGCTTTCAAGATTAGGACGTCCCACTGAATCCCTCAGAGATAGTCTTTTTTTTATTTCATGACAAATATCTTCTAACTTGCTTTTCATACCATCCTTGTGTTTCTTCTGGGCAACTGCGTTTTGTTAACCTTCCTGTTTAAAGGCTGTTTTGCTGTTTTTATTTCCTCGCGCAACTTAATGATCTGTTTATTAACTTCAGCACGGCTTGGCATAGTATCTCTGACAGAATACAAAGCATTCAGATTTTTTTCGAGTAGAGCAATCTTATTTTTCATAGTTTCCTGAGAAGGTTTTGCTCTCTGTTTATCTGTATTTTCATTAATTTCGCATTGCTGTTGTCATTCATTACCGGGTTTTATTTTATCTTCTTCCTCTTTTTTAATATTTGAAGCTGACTGTATAATTTGTGTTTTTTCTGTAGGTTTACAGGTTGCCTAAAAATAAAAACTTTCTATGGCTTCTGCTAAAGATTCTCTTATTAAGCTACATAAATACAAAGTATGGCAATATATACGGTAAATACAAAACCCTCTGGCTTTAAATCTAATATGTTTAAACGAGCAATTCGTCCCGGTCACAAAATACAGGGTGTTAGTTTTCTGTATATATGTATAAAACTAACATCCTAATCAGTAAAGAGAAACTTTTCTAATATTTCTAGTACTCATAGGTGCCTAAAATGATTTCGTCACTCACCTTAGAAAAAAAATTTAGTAGATTGGATTTATTCTTAGTCGCCGCTTGCAATTCTTTGATTCTCTTAGATACAATAATATCTAGTTCCTTGTCGGATTTTGCTTGTAGTTTGTAATTTCGCCACACTTCGTTAACTAACTTTTGTACATTTGGTACTTTCGTACTTGTATGAGATTTTTTAAAACTTTCAAACAATTTTTGGTATAACTTAGATTTGTCTATGTGAAACGACATCACATTAAAACATTGAACTTTGGCTAATGGAATCAATGGTAACACAAATGTTAACTTACTTTACTATGCTTACAATACGTCTACTCGCTATAGTATCCAAACGAAACAATACACTGATAGAAACACCGCGCGGTAATTCCCCTACTCGGTTCTAAAGCGAGTAGGGGCATTACCGCGCGCTGTTCACTAAACGTATTTTTTATTTGAGGGAATCACCGAAAATGCGTTTCGTTTTCAAGCAAAGACAATGTGAGGGTTGCCATTCGTGTAAAAAAGTAAATAACTACCGATAACGTAATCATCATCTAGACTCCCCTACCCCCCATGTCATCCAAAATAAGCAAAGCAAAGACCCCCCTCCGCCCTCCCATAGTGCTCACGTAATACTTGAACGGCCCCTAATTATAAAAAATGATAATTTCCAAAAGAGACTTTTCCCCATAAAAAAGTTGTATTTCTATTTGCTTAATCCAAAGAGCATAATAAAATTGCATAAAAGTCCGTGGCCAGCATTTTTTTGATACAAATATTTGTTCAGAAGCCGCTAGAGACGCCACTGGACTTAATAAATTTAATTTAATCAAGTTAGGGCTAATTTAGATTCTTAATGTTATAAATACCACCGCCAAATAGGTAAAAATAGGATGTTTAAGATATTTACGAAACATTTTTTTTTAAATTTTTGACACCGTGTATCTTGAGAACGAAGAATTTGCGGACCTGTGTTTATATGAACTTTTTGTCTTAAAATTACTCAAAGAATCATTTGTGAAATTCATGGTACAAAATTAACACAATGTATATGAAACGTACAAGTTCGATCTTCACTATTGGCTTGCCTACGTGTGGTGATGGGACTAAGGGAAGTTGGAACATGCATGTCCAAGCTAGATTATAGTCACAAACATTCATGTCCGCACGAAAGTCATACGTATAGTGAAGAATATATTGCTCTGAACAACATGTCGCTCCAGCAAGACATCGGTTTCTAGCTGGCCTGAACACCCATTGAGTACCGTGGGGCTATAGGGGGATACAGGGGAAAGGGGGAACGTCACACGGACTCTGGCGAGGGAACACGTGTGCATGCAACATGCACACATTCTGGCTCCGCCTACGAGATCCGCCGGGTGGTACCTACTCGTTCGACAGTCAGAGACCATCTACCACCTACGGACAATCGCAACATCCATAGCCAAGACAAAAGTTTCTCCTGGGACGGGATTCGAACCAACACAGCACCCGGCGATTGATCGGGAGACCGGAGAGTCTACTACTGCGACCACCGCTGCTGCCTCTGCCATTTTAAAGTGTTTATGCTGAAAACTAAAATAAATTAGACTATTATCGGCATAGTGATGATTGTATAATTATGAATATGAGTTTTCAGTTGAGCTACAGACTAAATAGATGAACCACTGAGCTATGTAGCCTAGCCATTGCTGGTTCAGGGCTGTATATCTGGAGGACTAGCGCAAAACGCAAGTGATAATCAAGTCAGTCTGGCAGTAGCATCACGATCGAGTCGCCAGACATTGCTGGCGTCTCTGTCTTGCGTCATAGCCCAGGAGATCTCTTACCTCAAGAACTCGGGACGTTCAACACGAGGCGTAAGGGAGATTGATATGATATACTATAGTGTTTTGATCATTGGTTCTTGAGCGATTCAAAAATCAAGCACATGGTGAAGGAAGACTTGCATTTCCTTACGAGGACGTCGTTCTGAAAGCAGTCAAAGAAGACCCGAGTACTTCAGTAGGTCAAAGAGAAGCAAGCACGGCAGTTCCCAAACGTACAGCCCACCGAATCTCGCGAAAGAACGAGCTCCACCGGTACCACGTAGGGAGAGTACAATCTCTACAACCCCGGAGCTATCTTCCAAGAGCTGAGTTTTTTCAAACAATGTTACAGAGACGCCGGGAAAATCCGCGATTTTTAGAGAACATTTTATGGACTAATGAGTCGACACTTAAAAAAGATGGTTACATGAATCTACACTACTTAAACGAGTGGCATGTAGATAATCCACATTTGATGGGTCAAGATAGATGACAGTATTGTTTCAAAGTAAACATGTTGACCGTGATTCTAAATGGGAGAATCATTGTACCCTTTGAGATGCCAGAGTTCTTGAATGGCGACATTTATTTAGACTACATTACAAAATCATGTAGCAAGCTCATGCCACTTCAGTTAGAGAATATCCTGATACGGAATAACCGAGCAGACGAATAGGGCGGTCCGATACAATTTCGGGGCCAGCCCGCACGGGTATTATGTATAAAACCTATAAAACGTCAAAAAACCTATAAAATATCATCTTGCAGACTAGGTAGCTTTTAGAGCCGCAGACAGTCATTCCACTTTGGCTCATTAGGATCGCTGTGAGCGTCCATCTATGGAGGAATAGCTCAACTACACGCATTGTTGGTTGCATACGTTTTGTGAAGCCGAGTATATCTATTAGGTGTGTACGACGGGCATTACATACTGTCCTTTCCGAAGACAGGCTATGTTCAAAGTTATAAATTACCATTTGTTACTTTTTTGTGTTTTCAAAACCGTTGATAAGAAATCACCACCGCGCCCGCGCTGTGTGTAATTACTGTTAGCATGTGTGTGACTTGTAGTTCGACAGTGTACAGTGAATATAATTATTTCTTATCTCTCTCATTTTTGAAATTCAGCAAATCTGCATTATGTAATTTCCATAATGGATAAGAAAAGGTGGATGCGCAACTAATTTCTAGCTTTGAATCTCAAGTAAGTGTATTTGACTCAAGAATCCAATGGAATTATCATCCACACATATTATTAGCACACAAATCCTCACTTTGCACCTATGCATTACCGTTACCTCCAGTAATGTCATCTCTGAAGTAGATTTTACATAACATCAGGGCCAAACATTGATAACTGAAGCCTCATGGCATTTAGGCAACACGTACAACTATAAAAGGATTTCACAACGTGCCGAACAGCTATTTAACATCTTGTAGAAAAAACTACATAATGTCACAAAAAAACAATACAATGTCAAAAAAAATGGACATAATATTACTTTTGAAGATACGTAATACCTCATTCGATCTTTTTGACTGGGGAGTGGTGAAAGAAAAAGGTTACACAAAGCCAATCAAAAATTTAGCTGAGCTACGGGACAGAATAACGGAAGTAGCTCAATTTGATGATAACGGAAGATCCGCTCGATCATTTTTAAGAAGATTTCAACCTTGCTGAAGGAAGGCAGCTTAAACAATTATTGTGAATTTAATAAATGCATTCATGAATTAATAAAAGAAGAAAAAACTGAAATTCCTGGTAATGGGAACTAAAAAATCGTTACAGGGTGTCGATTTTTCCGACTTTTCCGATTTTTTTTAAGTCTACAATTTGAAAAGTACATGACTTAGATTTTTATATGATATTTATTATGACTTGGCCTATCCCCCGTTTCCGGCTTGATGTCGAGTATAAGAAATCATGCTGTTTTTAGTTTATTTATGTAATTATTTTTGTTGAATCTAATTATTAAATGTACTCATATAATTATTATTAAACTGAATTATTAGATGTTGAAAATATTTCCTTTTGTGCTATTTTTGTGAATTTCAATATGAATGAGTGACATTGAAGTAAAATAAAATTCTGCACTAGTGCGTGTTTCCTTTAACAAAATAGTATAAATAGATTACGAAAACTATACGAAAAAAAATCAATAAATCACATGTTACTGCTCTTTGATTTACGACAATGGAAGATGGAATGTCATTTAGTTTAGGCATCGACAAGAATTATGATCTGAAATCACATTTAAATGACGCTATACAAGTCATGGTACTTTGCAATATTAATTGAGTTTTATGTTGTCGTAACAATACTATTTACATATTTAGGTCGAAGAAATCCAGAATTTTGAACTCCATTTTCTCAAATTTCGATTTTTACACTTTACTGCCATTTAAGTACGACAGTTATACTCTATATTTCGAGTTTTTCAAAAGACCATACGAAATTGTTTGATTTCGTCTGTCTCAAGGACTACTAGACCGCACTGATGAGCTACTAATGAGCATGGAGCAATGCTGTCTACGTTACAGAGATGGAGAGCAAAGATGTCCTTTTCAACAAAGTTTATATCCCTAACGCCCGGCCTATGAGCGTGGCAGAATTTCGGCAGTGGCGCAGTCAATCTGCGTTTGCGCTCCGCTATTGATTTCGCACAGGAAGAAAGGTCGGACGTTGGCAAAGGTGGGGCTCCCTAGCTCCCATCTCATCGCTCCCAATCGTTCGTATGTCATACGAGTGTTCACGTTATCACTGTTAACCCAACGAGAGCTCCATTCTCATTGTCCCTTAGCGTGCCGGTGTATGGCTTCCCAGCCACATTTCGAGTCAATCCTCAGTGTCTAAACCAATCAGAACTCATGATTGGCTCATTCTGGAACCTGTGCCGTGCCTGTCCCTCGATGCCTGTCGATAAGGTAAAAGGCCCTTAATTAACCTACAAAACCTATGTGCCGGCATGCACCATATTCAATGCGGACCTCTTAACCTCTATCTCATGAATAAATTAAAACCACTAGAAAGCTTAAAATGTCAATGGAATTAGACCGATAAAAAACCTATCCATGAGCTTTGAATAGTTTTACATCGAAATCTTTGATTTCATCTGCAAATGCCAGGTTATAAAATAACATCTATAGTGGATACAAATCACGGAAATGGACAATAGAAATTTCTAGTCTATGGGCAGCTTTTCTGGTCCAAATTCTTAGTGGACAAAGGTTTAGTCTTTTTTTGCTTATCACTCCAATTTTCCTGAGGCTCAAGCTTCCAGGAAAATGTGTCAGAAGCTCCTGCTCAACAGCTCTGAATGTTTGAAAGAAACTCTATCCATGTTTTGAGATACTAGTGGATTTCTTATATACACGACCTTCAGGCAAAGGACAAAATGTCTGCCTGACCTTAAAGATCTGAGTAAACCATAGGTATATATACGAGTAATCCAACAGAGTATAGCTTTTTAGAACTTTCTTAGGTATATATGGTTCTTCAACGTATTATGGATCAACAGCTGGTAAAATGACAAATCAAATTGAAACGTTTTTCGACTCTAAATTTTGAATGAATTTTACTGCAAGCAACTGTTGTTGGTAATCTGCTTTGTCAAAAAAAAGGAAGACAAACGACCTTTACCAGATCACAAAGCTTATTATGTTTATCTAAATCCAAAATGCACTAATTTCTTTTATCGTATGTTTGTTTTTTCTTTACGTTTGAACCAGGAAACTGAGTTCTACTGGATATATTTCGTGTTACTGAGTAAATTTCCTTCAAGAGAATGTAGAAACCGGAAGTATCTTTTGATTTTTGCTACGCTAAGAAGCATATTTAAACTGTATTTAAACCATTGCATCTGCATTTTAGAATCACCCTGTATAAGACTAAAATAATGGAGCTTTATTGGATAAGACACAAAAATTAATGTTTACTTCTCTCTATCACAATGGTTTTAGCGATATACTGTACTATTATTTTCGTAAGGCTAAAACTTACAGGCAAGCTTCTGGTCAACAGCTCTGAATGTTTGAAGGACTATTCTATCCATGTTTTGAAATACTGGTGAATTTCTTATATCTACGACTTTCAGGTAAAGGACAAAATGTCTGTCTAACCTAAAAGATGCAGGTAGAACATATCTATATAAATCCAACAGATTTGAAAGCTCTTAGGTATATATTCTGGCTCAACAGCTGGTAAAATGGCAAATGAAATTGAAATGGTGTTTCAACGTTTTTGAAATAATTTTGCTGTAAGCGGTATTGTGATTTGAAAAATGTTCGAATTTGAGATGAGCTTTCTTGAACGTTTCATGAATTTCACAAGAAAATAAATTCATTTTTATCGACAGAGAGATACTCTCTGCCTGGCCGAAGCTTTTTTTGGCAAAATTTCGGACCCATAGTACGATAATTTCCAGCCATCAGCTTTGTTTTCAAAAACAAAAAGAAAAACGGTTTTTACCAGATAACAAGGTATGTTTCTCTATATCACAAAGACTAATTTCTTATATCGTGGCAAATACTTTTGCTTTGTTTTACGTTTGGACCAGGAGTTTTACTGTGGATATATAATAATAATTATAGTGATAATAATGTTTATTTGCAACATACAGTTTAGATAAATAGTATATAAATGAAGATATACATACGAATACAAGATACATGAATGAAATATGTTACAAATTCAAAATATATACATTTATTTGTCAAAAAACAAAAACAAAAATAAACATTATATTTACTGTATTATCGAAAATACACACAATATTTTTGGCAAAAAGGACAAATCCTCGATCAAATGACCGTTAACACCCAGCCTTACATAAGTAGGGTGGGTGTGAAAATGTCCTGTAGGGCAGTAGCACAAGAAGGCTGACTATTTATAAATGATCTAAGTTCAGCCCTGTAGCTATTACACATGTACAAAAATCTATCTAAGAACGCTTGAAAGAATATATTTTTATATTTGATTTTAGACTGTCCTGGATGCAGAATTTTGAATTTATTAGGAATTTGGTTATAAAGCTGGTAAATGTGGAGAGGTTTCATGACAAGGTGATATGCAGCTCCGGAACCGCAAATTTAAATTATGGACATCGGTGCAAAAAGTGATGCTATTGCATAAATATGGTGGTTATTTAAAAAACAAAATTTTGGAAAAAAGATTACAAGCCAGTCATGTCAACATCGCATATTCAACCAGTTTGCATCAAACTCTTTAAAACTTGCGTAGACATTAAATGAATCTTACACATGACTTCTGTTCATGCTCATTTCTGTCCATGCCAATCTTGTCTAAACAAAACTCATATCCGCTATTACAAAAACTTCGCGTTGCTGAGTAAAATTTCTTGAAGAGAATCTCGAAACGTAAAGGAGTATGCTATGCAAATGGGCATCTTTTCTGCTGCTTTTGGAATCACCCTGTATAAGACTAAAAAATGGGCCTTGTTAAATAAGATACAAAATTTAATATTTACTTCTATTATTCACTTTTTGTATATCATAGAGTGATCTTAGCTATATCCTGCAATCATTGAAGCGTAATATAACAATTGAGGAAAAAGTGCTTAATTAAACCGTTTAATAATGCTGCAGTGTATTAATGACCTAAAAAAGTCACTTTACAGCCATTTAAATTGCGGATGCCATAAACATTTGTGTATTTAGCATGCCGACCCAAGTTTTCAGCCGTAGTTACCTGATAAAACTGTTCATTAGACAAAAGCGTAACAATAGTTTAAGAGACAGGGTTTACATTTTTTGCAATAATATTTCAAAGTTGAGTGATTTATTTAATTGCTTGTAGGACTCGTCTTAAGGCGTTGATAAACCAAAAATCACCTATATAAAGGTTGCATAATAAAAGAAATAGTAAAAGATTAGAAATTAAAAAAAAATGAGAATGTTATTACACAGATTCTTTGATATTCTTGACCACTGCCGTGTAAAATATTGGCGTTTTTGTTTACTACTCTTATCGTTTAACTAAATTTGGCAAACTTTTTGTGTTATTGTATGGTTTTCAGTACGAGTCTTCGGTTCGATCAGTTTTATCAGTCTTTTAATAGTGCGTATACTTTCATTTGTCTGTTGTTTACAAAAACAATGAACTACTGGCCATAATACTAACATACGGAGAGTTTGAACAAAATGCAGCCGCAGCATGCAGGTTGTATGCGGAAAAGTTTCCGTTAAGAAATCATCCGGCCCCACGGATGCTTGTAAATTTAGTTATTGGGCTTCGTGACACAGGACATTTAAAAGAAAAACAAGGACGTCACGCTGGAACACAACGTGAAATGTTACAAATTGATGAAGACATTTTATGAAATGAAGATTTTACGAAATTAATTTTGTTTACAGACGCGGTCACATTTACACGAGATCGAGTGCACAATTTCCACAACAATCATGCTTGGGCAGTAGAAAATCCGCATGTTGTGAAAAGAAGTCATTTTCTACATAAATTTTCATTAAACGTTTATGCTGGCGTGGTAAATGGCATGTCTATCGAGCCCTACTTTTTTCCACTCCGACTGACCGTTTTTTTTTTATACTCCAACTACCACGAAGGCCTAAGCACCCATTGGGTACCGTGGGGCTATAGGGGGGATACATGGGAAAGGGGGGGGCGCTACACGGACTCTGGCGAGGGAACACGTGTGCATGCAACATGCACACATTCTGGCTCCGCCTACGAGAACCGCCGGGTGGTACCTCCGCGTTCGACAGTCAGAGACCATCTACCACCTACGGACAATCACAACATCCATAGCCAAGAGAAAAATTTCTCCTGGGACGGGACTCGAACCCGCACAGCGCATGGCGACTGATCAAGAGACCGAAGAGTCTACTACTGCGGCCACCGCTGCTGCCGGTGAAATTTATTTAGATTTTCTTCGACATAATCTGCCACAATTATTAGAAGAAGTGTCTCTAAATGCGAGACTGGATAGATGGATGGGGCGCAATGCACCTATTTCTTGGCCTGCTCGCTCCCCGGATTTAACACCTTACGACTTTTTTCTGTGGGGCTGCTTGAAAAAGTTGGTGTATGATGGAGTAGTAAATGCTCTGGAAGAACTTCAACAACTCACTGAAAATGCTTGTGATTTAATTCGTGGACGTAAAGAGTCGTGGATTCGCCGAGCAAGATTTTGCGTTAATCCAACAAAAAGGGACAATTTTGAACAGTTTTTGTCGAAACGCTATCCATTTAACTTGATAATGATTTAAATAATTTTTAATAATGTATATGTATCCACTTATTATGCAACTTTTATATAGGTGATTTTTGGTACATCAACTTCTTTTGACGAGTTCTACAAGCTGTTAAAATAAATGACTCAACTTTGAAAACACCCTGTATAAAATATTGATTTTTAAATTTGAGATTTGACATAGCTGAATAACATTCCACGCAAGATCGCCAATTTTTTCGTTTCTGGGTTACCTTAAGAAAAATAAAAGATAACAAGCTTTCAGTATAAATATAACGAAATGCTTTTTTGTAAATGGCGATTTTACCTCCTATGCCATTGGCGAGGAAGTATTGTAATCGTGAAAATGAGATTTTTAACATTATATGACATCTACGAGTACTTCACGAATGTCACTGCCACCTTTTAGAAAGAAGAAACGCTGGAGACAGAAAAAGTATTTCTTCTTCGTCATGAATATGTATTTCTAGTTAAATTTGATTCATTGCTATTCTATCCTATATTAGAAACAATGCGATTTTGCTCATTTTCCTTTTGCTAGAACCTCATTTTCACACAACCGCGTCGGTTCTGGAACACCCCTTCGACATTTATTTCTAATATTAGCATTCACACTCCATTCTAGTCATAGAAAACAATCAAAGCAAACATGTTCTCAGCCAGAAATCTGAGGCATATGAATAAAAATGATGTGCTTCCTATAACATGAATACATAAATGATGTGGCGGAATTCTGATGATTTGCTCCGAGTGATATTATACCTCGTCTCCTTCGGGCATATACAGAGTGTCCCAGAAATAACAGGCCAGAGTGACACGGGAGGTAGATTGGTTTCAGATCAATCAGATAAAATCAACATGATCTTAATAAAAGTTTTCTAGTTTTCGAGATATTGCCACTTTTATGTTTTTCTAAATCTCTACTTTTTGCTCCTTTTTTACCTGTTATGGCTCTAAAACACTTCTAACTTATGATTTTTTTCCTGGGATGCCATTAATAGTATTCATTTAATTGAAAAGTAGTACGGTATGCTAAAAGTTCCTCGTGGTGACAATGCTACCGACCGAACAGTGAATGTGTGAGCGAGATAGTCACTGACGTTTCATTCCTTAGTATTACGACTTCAATGACAAAACTGTCCCTGGTATGGTATCCTCATCATCAAATATATATTGACCGCTTAGAGTCCATTCAAAGAAAGTTTTTAAAATACCTCTCATACAAAGCTGACGGGATATATCCTGCTATTGGCTTTTCCTCATAGTGAGTTGATGGTGAGACACAAAATCTATAATTTAGAGAGCAGATGCAAAAAGAATTCACTTAAGTTCATTCACAAGCTCATCCATGGCATTATTGACTCCAGTGTCATCTTAGAACAACTTAACTTCTTAATTCCTAGATTAGCGTCACGAACTAGTTTAACTTTTTACTTAGCCAGGCCTACGACTGACATACTTAAGCTTTCCCTATGTATATAATGTGCCGTAATTATAATTCAGTTAATAGCGTTTTAGATACATTTTCGTGTTGTGCGATTTTGGAAGACATTAATGCTTATTTTCGTTAATGCTTGCCGGTGTGCTTGTTGGGTGCTGGGCAGGTAAAACTGCAACGCCTTTTTTCCTTGCAGTTCTGTTTTGAGGTTTTTTTGCAGCATTTTAGCTGCCTCTACATACATCCACTACATGCATTTGTTTATATTTTCATGTTTATCCATCCTGTAATTGGCTATGGCTGTTGGATGTTGCTAAATAAATTCAAGTCAATTTTTAGTAGAAAGAACCTACAAATGTTATACTATTTTTAGCAGAGCATCAAATAGGCTAGTTTTTAAGATCATTTGCCGATTAAGTCAGTTACATTTTTCACAGTAATTAGTCAAACTTTCGTAAAGGTTTTCACATTGGGACAAATTGTAATAATTATTTTTTTTTTGATATGCCGTGTTAGTTTTCAACGAAACGAATACTCAGTTGTCTCAACCAACTATTAATGGTTACTCAGGAAAAGAAATCATAAGTTAGAAGTTCTTTATAGCCAGCACAGGCAAGACAAGAGCAAAAAAAGGGTTTTTTGAAAAAATCAAAAGTGGCAATATCTCGAAACTTTTACTAAGGTCATGTTGATTTTATCTGATTGATCTGAGGCCAATCTACCTCCCGTGTCACTCTGGTATGTTAATTCTGAGACATGCTCTATGTACAATTCACAAATCATAGATCCAGAAACATCCTGTATAACACCACGTAAAAATAATATTGGGTTCGATTGCATTACTTCAGCGAATCTCTTTTTCACTGGTCTATCCAGAAAAGAGTTCTAGGGCCTCAGAATTTATATTTGAAAATGATCCAAGTTTAGCCCTTACACATTTATTAGAAAACCCCGAAAGAAAAAATGTGATTGATAGTACAAAACAAATCATTAGTTTGATCAAGTAATTAGGAATTTGTTTATAAAACTGATAAACGTTGTATGAGGAAAATTCACAACAATAAAAGTTTCGATGAGGAACTGCAAGTTTAAATTATGAACATCGGTGCGAAAAGTGATCCTAATGAATAAATATGATGGTTGCTCGAAAAACAAAATTTTGAGAAAAACATTACATGCAAGCAACTCCCGTGGACATCGCATATTCAACCAGTTTGCATCGAGCAACTCGTGAAACTTGTGTAGATCGTAGATCGTGAATGAATCTTAGACAGGACTTATGTACACTCTCAATTTTGTCAATCTTGTCTGAACAAAATCCATATTATACGCTATTACAAAAATTGAAATGGCTGAGTAATAGTAGTCCACAAAGCAATATTTCAACTTCAACAAAGAGGGCATATCGATGAGCATATAGAACATTTCTGGATACATTTATTAATATGAGGCTTGCATCTTAGATTTGAGATAAATTCTACTCCTAAATTTCTCACAGTGGCTGAACATTGTATAGATTCACTTCTTATTTCGACATGAAAAGTGGGCTCAATATTGTCTTTCAATCTGCCAAATAACATAATATGTGATCTGCTAGCATTAATCTGTAGACCAAGATTTTCGGAAAATACAACTAATTTTTCAGTATCTCGATTAATAATGGTCAAGGCATCACATTTATCGTGACGACTGCAAGAAAAATAGCTTAGTATCGTCAGCATACTTGACAATTTCGGAGACATTGGGAAAGGTTTATACGTATTGTATTGTCAGTTAAATAGTGGCACATAGGCGACTCGCAAACCCTATATAGTGTAAAATACCAGTCAACATTTCATGATTTAGTTTATTAAATGCCTTGCGTAGTCCAAGGCACGAGAGCGGTGGTTTTTCCGGAATCTGTTGCTTTGAAGTTATTGCCAGTTATATTCAACAGTGCAGTTTCGCAACTTAACCCTTCCTAAATCCTGATTGGTAGTCTAGTAACAAATTGTTCTCAGTTAAATAATCTCTCATTGGTTGGTCCAATATAATCTCGACAAGTTTTGATAGCACTGGTAAAATTTCATTTTAGTAACTAATTTCAGACTTTTTGGTATACTTTTAGCAGTTTTTGTACGAAGTTACCAAGTTTTGACAAGAGATACAACTCTCAAAACAATTCAACTTTTGAGAACCTCATTCAAGAATATAATGATTGACAAATATAGGTAACTTTTTCTGGGGTGGTAGCCCATTTTAACAAAATGCTGGTTAGGTAGGAAAAGCCCTATATTATGATGATTATTCAGATTAAGAAAGGAATAAAGATTAATTTGTCTTGTTACAGCTTCATTCCGAGTATCGGAGTACGTATCGATGGCACGAGTATACGGGGCCAAGACAGGAGGTGGTGCGGAGGGCGCCCCAAATGAACGTGGATAAAAATAACGACGGCCACGGCTCTAAGATTAACGGGGAGGAATGCACAGGCACAGGTGAACCTTGTAAGTATTAAGGACGTGAATGACGAAAAATCGATCCTAATAAAACACGCACAAGTCTGGCCTGGCCTATCCTGGCGCCCGGCGCCCGACGCCTCAGCGTATACAATACTACACAGCAACGCAACTGCCGACGATATCAGGCGTTTCCGGATCGCATAACGCGCAGCTAGTGTTGCCGAACCTACCGATTTTTTGGTATTCCTACCGAAATAATAATAATAATAATAATAATAATAATAATAATAATAATAATAATAATAATATTAATAATAAATTTTTATTGGTCTGACTACAAAAAAGTATACACTTTTGTTTGGGTTTTAATCGAGCTTGAATTATATGGATACAACAAATTTCCTGTAAGTATACTAGCCAAATGTAGATATAAAGGGTGGACCATCCGTTGGTTTCTTTTTGAAATTGATATTAAAACTACACTCTTCAATAATATATAACACTCGATACTTTATTCAAAGAATACACCTTCCGATTATTTATGAAAGACAATTTCAGGCAGCAGCGGTGGCCGCAGTAGTAGACTCTTCGGTCTCCTGATCGGTCGCCGTGCGCTGTGCGGGTTCGAGTCCCATCCCAGGAGAAATTTTTCTCTTGGCTATGGATGTTGTGATTGTCCGTAGGTGGTAGACGGTCTCTGACTGTCGAACGCGGAGGTACCACCCGGCGGATCTCGTAGGCGGAGCCAGAATGTGTGCATGTTGCATGCACACGTGTTCCCTCGCCAGAGTCCGTGTGGGGTTCCCCCTTTTCCATGTATCCCCCTATAGCCCCACGGTACCCAATGGGTGCTTAGGCCTTAGGCCTTCGTGGTAGTTGGAGTATAAAAACAAAAAAAATATTAAATGGCTGCCGCGGCTGGCCATCCTCTTAACCCAATTTTGAAGCACATTTTCGATAGTTTGTGGGTCTATTTCATCAATAGCTCGACGGATATTTTCCTGAAGGAACCAATTGTTCGAGGGTCGTTAGTGTAACAGCGGTCCTTAACAGTACCCCATAGGAAGTAATCCATGGCCGTCAAATGACAGCTGCGCTCTGACCAATGAATGTCTTCAAAACGGCTGATAACGCGATGACCGAACGTAGTGTGTAAAAGATCGATTGTTTCACGGCTGGTGTGACATGTTGCGCCATCGTGCGGGAACCAGAGATTGTGCAAGTGCATGTCGTCTAATAGTGGCCACAAAAAGCTCCTCAACATGTCTCTATAGCCTTCCCCGTTTACCGTCACGCTGTTACCATCTTCATCTTGAAAAAAGTAGGGACCAATAATCCCACTACCGCAAAAGCCACACCAAACAGTTACTCTTTTTGGATGCATTTGTTTTTCCATGACATGTGGATTTTCAGAATCCCAAATCCTACAGTTCTGCTTGTTAAAATAACCTCCCAGATGGAAATGGGCTCAGTCCGAAAAGATGATTTGGCGACCAAAATTGACGTCCGTTTCTAATTGATTTAGAGCCCACACAGAGAAACGATATCGAAGCGGATGGTCATTTTCTTTCAACTCTTGCACAAGTTGCATCTTGTAAGGAAATAATCCCAGGTCGTTATGCAATATTCTCCGCACAGGAGTGCGACTGATGCCCACTTGTTGTGCTCTGTGACGAGTTGAAATTCTTGCGTTTTCACGAACACTCTGGACAACAGCAGCAATATTTTCGGTTGTACGTACGGGTCGAACACGCCCATACCTTCTGTTATCCACAAGCAGGCCAGTTTCACAAACCTTCTTCACGAATTTTCGTATACCAGTCGCGGACGGAGCTTCATTCCGACCAAATAGTCTTCTCAATTTTCGCAAAGTTTCTGCATCACAGCAGTCACTTTGAAAATAGTTTTTTAATATTTGCCACCTTTGTTCAAGATTAAAATGATTCATTGCTCACAGCGGAAGTTTGACACAATATATATGTCAATATGTTGAGCATGGAAGTATTACCAACTGTCAAAATAATACCAACTTAAAGAAAAACAGCTGATGGCCCACCCTTTACATTGGATCAATTTATTATCAAAGAGCATATTGATTGTTAATGCTTATAAACTCATGGATTTGTAGCCTTGGTTGATTGATACTTAAATTTTGCAGGAATAACGTTATAAAATTTTGAGCATAGAAAGTAGAATGATCATTGACTTTTATTTAATTTGATGGTTGTGGCTGATAGAATGTAGCAATTTGAATTATTTGTTAAATATATTATTGTATGATAAACATATACGATTTGCCGGCAGTCGAAAAGCTGGGACTTACTGTAAATATTTTCTGTAGATAACATTTCTTTTCGTTCAACATAACCTTCAAAATTCACTTCTGCATAATTTTAATTTTTTTATAATAATTATTCATGCCTCCCCGCCATGCTAACATTCCGTAGGATAGTAACGATTAAACAAGAACATGATATATCGTGAGTAGATATTTTTCGCGTAAAAAATCGCTGACATGTTTGATTTTCGGGATAAGATATATTTCCAACGTATATATTCTATTTTAAATGGTCATCTATGAATACCAATAAATATTTGAAATGATCAACTGAGTGTATGCTTTGTAGCTATTCAACGTTATAATTTGGTGTTGATTAAAATTTGGAGAAGATCTGTTGACTCAAGAAAATGCAATGAAATATGTTTTGTTGAAACTGTCTGTTGAAATTCTTTTCGTGAAGAAATTTGTAACCTTTTGAAAATCTAATACAATTTTGTTTTTCAAAGAAGCTCAATCTTTGTCCGAGTAAATAATTGCAGTATGGTCTGCGAAACCAATAATTTCTCCATCGTTTTTTAACTTAAAAAGGTCATCAATATACAGATTAAACAGCATTGGTCCTAATACGGTTCTTTGTGGAACTCCGAATCTAAGTGCCTTATTTTCACTTAGAGTACCTACTGTTGATAAGTGGCTTCACGAAATCCTGAATTCACCAAGGTTTTTAATAATTTTTGATGCGTAATTCTACCGAATGCTTTGGCCAAGTCTACAAAAAGACATATTGTTGCCTTATTACTGTCAACGTATTTGTAAATTTTGATTGTTAACTGAATAAGTGCATTTTCATTTGACTTTGCTTCCTGGAATCTGTGTTGCTGTTCATAGTGAGGTTGTATTTTGCAGTAGAATCTGAAAAACGTAAATCGAACTATATATAAAAAATTTGTTGGGCAATACATGCTATTATTGTCACACCGTGAGGTAAGCAACTAGTTGGTCGGCAAATCGTGAGTGTCCTGAGTAGACGGGAGAACCGAGGATGGCCGCTTTCTGCATTCTTCCGCCTAAGATGCTCGCCGATGCTCGGCATACCGGTATGGATTTAATTGCAGAGAGGATTGTGGCATATTTCTCATCGTCCAAGGATCCAATGACCATAACTATAGTGGATACCAAATAAAACCCGATGCACGTCATCGATCTGGAGCTGTGCGCTGTTGCCAGAATTTGCACATTTTCTTTTAAGCAAATAAATTTAATAAAATAGATTGTTTATATATACGATAATACCATTATATTAAAAAATAAATAAACTTGTTGTAAAATTAAATTCCCTTCTGAATAAAAACACCTGATTTTGGTAGATATTCAATGATATGAGCTCTTTACACCGACTGTTAAGTTGTTTTGGCATTTTGGATACTTTACACCACTTCGCAGTAACTGTTGATCTGAAAAGAACAATTTTTATTGGGCAAGGCAACGATTCAAAGCTCAAATAGCGCAAAACTCACAAACTAAACAATAAAGAACTAATAGTACGACAAAAGGACAATGGCAACTGATGTCAACAAATGAGAAGTGGCAACCTCACATTTCTCTGCACGGCACTACCAACCGAATCGAGCCGGGGAAATTTAAACTTCAAGTAGAAATGTCACATTGAATGTAGTCAACTGTTGGTAACCATGATTTTTATGAATGACATCACCTATGACGTGCATCGGATTTTATTTGGTACCCACTATAGCAGACAGCCTGCGAAGCTGAATGAGACGCTTCTGATATTTGGTCCCCTTTTCCTCCTACTTCTAGACGATGTTCACTTCGGCCGAAGCGGAAAATTCAATAACGAACATCGCCTTCTATTCCTTGTCTGCACCAGCTCGACCGTGGGGACCGAGTAATTCCAGTTAATCCGGCATTTCTCCTTCTCCACAACAGACTCAATAGCCCCTGGAGCATAGAGCAGCACAGGTGTTTCATCTATACCATAGGAGTGCTTCAAATGGTAGTATAGCCCTCTCAGAGCTGTGTCGTACCGATAGACGTAAGCGGGCCAGCATATACTTTACACGCTGACAAGAGATGCATGATGCATAAGCGTCTCTGGCGCCTATCGATGTGCTCTGTAGTCGGCATCGGGTACCTCCGCAACCATATACCCTCTAGGGTATATCAAGGTAGTGTTATATTTAGGCAGCAGCGGTGACCGCAGTAGTAGACTCTTCGGCCTCCCGATCAGTCGCCATGCGCTGTGCGGGTTCGAATCCCGTCCCAGGAGAAATTTTTCTCTTGGCTATGGATATTGTGATTGTCCGTAGGTGGTAGACGGTCTCTGACTGTCGAACGCGGAGGTACCACCCGGTGGATCTCGTAGGCGGGGCCAGAATGTGTGCATGTTGCATGCACAGGTGTTCCCTCGCCAGAGTCCGTATGGCGTTCCCCCTTTCCCTGTATCTTCCTTATAGCCCCACGGTACCCCATGGGTGTTTAGACCTTAGGCCTTCGTGGTAGTTGGAGTATAAGAAAAAATCAAAGACACTATCTTGGCAAGCCATAATGAATCCCTCAGTCTCAGACTATAATCCTCTAGACCTTTAAAATGAGGTTAACTGCTTAGACAAGCCATACTTCTCCATGCGTCTGTAGAAGATTCCATGTATAGGCTTCTCTCTATGAAGCCTTAATAGGCAATTTGCTCCAGCGGTTTGTATGTGACTCTTCAGTTGAGCAAGAGCAAGCTCTGCAATGGACTGCTGGCGCTCCCGCTTAAAGTCAAGTATGAACCCGAGTTCCTTGGCTTCTTTATATCGAAGCAGCCGCGCAGGCAGTAGCCTAAATGCCGGAACACCGCGGCTGCTATGATGATCCCAAATAAATTTTATTAATACGATTTTTGAACTGCCTAAGGTCAATAGAACTGGGAAAAGCTTCCTCTTGTAGATTGTTCCACAATCTCGACACCCTCGGGACAAAGGAGCGGTCGTATCGGCCGGTTCTGGATGTGCGAAGTTCGACACGGTTAGGATGGGACGCCAAAGTCAGGCGGGTCTGTCTGGCAGGAGAAGGTCATGCGGAGAAAAGTACTTCTTAGCCCTAAAAAACAGCCTAGCTTTTTCCCAGCGGCTGCAGCTATTGACGAGATGTGTTCGTGCCAGATCAGGTCCTCGGTGATCTGGGTTCCGACCAGCCGAAATGAACGGCTCCCTGGCTGAACTCGACCATCCATCGAAACCGGGTGAGCGCAGGGACGCTTTTTGTTCGTCAAAGTACAGATGATGCTCCCATCCACGAGCTGCTTGTCCTCTTCACCATCACCGTATCGTCCTTTCTTGAGATGAACCATAGCGCATTTGTCGATCCCAAATTCCATACCAATAGTACGGCTATACTTATTATTATGCAGTGTCTAAAATAATATTCATCTTCCATGGCCCCCCGTTTGTAGCGCTAATGGTAGAGAGATTGTAGATGTAATTCGTTCAACCTAGAAAATTAATCTAATACAGTGGCGAGACTCTCGTGGGGTTTCAATGCTTCAGTGCGTCAGCAGACGTGTCACAAAGCCCGAGCAAACGAGCAGAAAATACACCGAAACTTATTATTTTCAGTGCCAAAACTGGAACCCGCGATGCCTAGAAGGAAAAAATACCCAGATCTGGCGTACCGACATCACGAGTTCCTAGTTAGCGATGGTTCCAACAGTGATTACAGTAGCACCGACAGAGCTAGGGTAAGTACCAATTTGCATTTATACACACCAACTAGTACTGCACGTAATTTGGAAGCTAGTGTTTGGAACGCAAAGGTAGAGTTTGTTTCGGTAGAAGCTTCAATGAATACCGGAATGTCTGAGAATTGGTAGTATCAAACTTATTAAGTATACTGAAAGTTCATAGTGGAAGCTTCGCTTGATGGTCTGTTATATTTTCATTCCTTGAAAATGGACGATTTTAAAATATGGAAGAGAGTACCCAAAAACTGGAAAGTAGCTAAAATAGTGTCCTGAAAGCGTGCATAGTTTAGTTTGTAATTATGATTTGGTAATTACCAAAAACCTTACATAACCGTGCTCCAAAAAATATTTGTCAACACTGGTCCCCAGTAACAATTGTCAAATATACAGCGTTGAGATTCTTATTTTTGAGACAACCCTCGTATAATATATTTGAAACAGATACATAATTTTTAATAAGTTAGCAACAAAAATCCCGGGCGTACACTTCTCTTTTTGCTTCCCGCCTTCTTTCATCCCATCTTCTGTCATTCTAAATGGTTTTGATTTTTTTCTATTAGTTTTTCTCATTGTCCGATTCGATCATAAAAAGGGATGTAAAAGGAATACTAAATAGTAGACTTAGGCGACTGGAGCAGGTTCGATTTGGGCGATTGAGACCAAAAATATGTCCTTTCCGTAAAAATTCAATCAAACATCTAAATCAGCCGGTTTTAAGAGAAATACTAACTCAGGGGAAGTGTCGTTAGAGTAAATACAAAGACCTTTACTTTCAAATATACCGGGTGTTTCAAATTTGACACTTACCATTGGGATCTCGGAAACATTGCTACTTTTTTCTCTACAAGATGGCATAATTAGAATTTCAATATGGCGCTTTTGTCTGTTATCCTCGAGCATCAACTTCATTTTTTCTTAAGACAGCCATATTGGATTTTTGCACAGGTGAATAGAATTTTGATTCTGATTAAAAAAATGACATTGTAATACCTTAGTTATATAAAAAAACAGAATTTCCTAGGTAGCCCTTGAAATTATCAGATAGTTATTTGTTTCATATACCAGATTTATGACAAATTCGTTTTTAATTGTTCCTGACCGGATTTGTGATGGGGTTTCAGAATAAGTTGCAAATTTTTTAATGCGATGTTTCTTCTTTCGACTTCCATCATCATGAATACTTTGTATAAGTGCCGAATTCATGCTTGTTTTTTGAGGCCCCTTTCATGATTATAGAAGCCTGTTTAGTGGTGACAGATACTTCAAGAACTATGATTTAGTAACCTATAGTTCTAACTCACGAATCACGACTAGTACTTAATGCCGTGAAAAGCGTGACGTGATCACATCGCGCCTTTTAGGCTTAGGAGTTAGTCTCACGGGATTTCGCTCAGGATATCAGTATACCCATAATCTCATCGTTATTCGAAAGTCGTGATCTTGTTACGCTCTGAAATCACTGATATAATAATAATAATAACAATTTGCTTTTATTGCTCATGTAAGTACAGAAAAAAAGTACAAAAATTTGACGTTTGACGCGAAATGAGTCTTTTATATACGAATAAAACAAAATGGAAAGTAGTAAAAAAAGCCTTCAAGCTGATAAATATGTATGCACAACTCTTCAGTCAAGATTGCGATGGTAAATAAGGCGTCCTTACATTAATGAGGCCTCAAATGAAGGAATGACTATGCATTGGGCCCTTATATTTCCATATCCTGGAGTCTAGTTTTCTTAAGTTCTCAAAATATAATAGAACAAATCTTTCGAGAGTATTCCAATTAAAGCAAGGTTAACCACCTCCTCTTAGAAAGAATTCCTACAATGAATTTATAAAGCTATAGCTACATCATATTCATTAAAGCCAGGAAGATCTTCTATACATTTCACGTTATTAAAGTAATTTTAAAGACGCGACATAATGGAAAATAGGCCAGGCACAGTGTTTTCTGAAACTGCATCAGAATAAAAATCATTAAAACCGGTGCAGCACTTTTTTAGACTAGGTTAAAAATGACGTCAAGTAGATTGACTCTATACTTCCTAGGGGTTCATTGGAGGTTTCAAAGAAAGTGAATCGTGATTAGGTAGGTTCACGTAGGTACGATGAATCTTCGATGTCTGCATATCAAACTATATAAATCAAATCTATCATACTTCTGTTTCCATGGCAGATGGAGGTAAATATGTTTGACTTATTATTTCTAACAGGTGCATCATATCTCTGAGATAACCAGTTTCTTAATAATAGAAGGTCTTTCACTGACACCAAGTAAGCAACAATTAAGAACCATTTACCGCATACAGATTCCTACCTACAATTCCCATCCTCTCCAAACAATTTCTGAAAACGACCAGGAATCTCGGAAACATTATAACACTATGTTCCAGCGATTTTATTTCTGCCGCCTCTAAATCAATTTTCAAAATCTACGACTATCTAAACGGTATAAGTATTAAACTCAATAATATTCGAACTTCGGTTCATATGTTTTCTGTTGCTTAAAGATATCTGCATCACACAAGTCCACGTTTCTCATGTACGTCGATTTGTCAGTCCATGTCTGTTGTATATCAACGCGTCATAAGTACTGAGTCAATCTACTTGACGATATATTCAGAGAACCATCATAGACGGAGTAACACAAAAGGTTAGACAAAATGGGAGGTACATTTAAGGATCCTGAAATTCTCCAAATATTGATAAAATATATAAATATTTCTCCTGTAACGACGTGCCAGTGACGACACCACCGCAAAAACGTTGGAGTTGCTTACCCATTGCTCAGTCGGCAGTGGCCTCCACGACGATGCAGCATCGCGCGGTGCTCGCAGCGCCAACGATTGCCAAGTTATTGTGAATAATGAACATATCGTACATCGGACTTTTATCATTTAATGTTCCCGTTGTTACCGGTATCAGAATCTTCTCTTGATAAATCATCCAGCCGATTTAGCAAAATATAAGGTCTACTCGTAATGAGCATACCGTTTACCACGCCAGCTCAAATCTTTAAAGAAAATGTTTGTTGAAAATATCACTGGTGGACTACGTTAGGGTTTGCTGTTTGATAGGCTCTTACAAAAGGGAACATCAATGCGCGGCGTCTAGCACACTTTACTCTTGGAGACTTGCACTTGTCTAGCAACTTCAATAGTGCTTGGTTGAAGGATCTTCTTTTACAAGATGCAATACTCCTTTCTCAGCTTGCACCTTTCGAGGTTGTCTAGGTTTCCCACTGTGCCTACCTCGATGTTCCTGCAAATGACCTGTATCATTAGCTCTTTGCACAAAGTAAACAAACCCACGTCCCTCAATCATAACGTCTGGGAAAGCGATCTGCATACACTTACGAAGCCTCGGTAGCATTTTGAAGACGCCATTTTTGGCTTTTTCTTGTCAAGCAACTTCCCTAGTGCTTGTTGAAGGAGTTTCTAATACAAGATGCAATACTCCTTTCTCAGATTGCACCTTTCGGGGTTGTCTAGGTTTCCCACTGTGTCTACCTCGATGTTCCCGCAAATGACCTTATCATTAACTCTTTGCACAAAGTAAACAAATTCACGTCTCTCAATCATAACGTCAGGGAAAGCGATCTGCATACACTTACGAAGCCTCGGTAGCATTTTGAAGACGCCATTTTTGGTCTTTTCTTGTTAAGCAACTTCCCTAGAGCTTGTTGAAGGATTTTCTTCTACAAGATGCAATAATCCTTCGTCAGCTTGCACCTTTTGAGGTTGTCTAGGTTTTCCACTGTGCCTATCACGATATTGCTGCAAATAACCCATATCCCTAGCTCTTGGCATCAAAATAAACAAATCCCCGCATGATAAAATCTGGGAGACAGATCTGCATATGTTCACGAAGCCTCAACGGCACTTTGAAGACACAATAAATTAAAATTATGTTCGATATTGCTGTAGGAGTGTGCACTTTTGTTTTTTTCTTGTCTAGCCACTTCCCTAGTGCAAAACGACCTGTATCCCTAAGCTCTTTGCACAAGATAAACAAATCCCTGAGTGATAAGGTCTGGGAAAGCGATCTGCATACACTAGCGAAGTCTCGGTAGCATTTTGAGGGCACCCACCATAAATTAATATCATGCCGACAAGTTCAATAACGCTGTTCGAGTGTGCCATTTTGTTTTTTTTCGAACCGATTGGTAAATTAATGTTTTGTCTACTGGGTTGAGTGCTAACGTAGCCTTCTCTCTTTTGATTTGATCGAGATAATATATCGGTTATCTTGAGACTTTGGTTATTTGCTACTAGGAAAAGCCTCTTTTTTCCAAGATCTATACGCCGTGTAAAGGAAATTCCCAACTTTGCGGACACCCTGTATATTTAACAACAGTCCTGTTGCTCTTATCTGTCAAGACGGTCTAGGCAAACAAGGCTTCGTCAAGAGAAATAATGATATAAGACAGCGCAAAGCGCCATCTATCATACCAGAACCGACCTCTGCGGAGAGCGTATTCTGATGTCATAGATGGCGCTTCGATAGACCGTACGTCCGATATAGAGAATAGAAATACTGATCATGCATTCGGTCCTTGATATGTTTAGCATGTAGTTCGGGTTCCTAATACCTCAAAGGGTCGCTTCTGCAAACTGCTACCTTTCCGAAAATGTTGCACTCTACCTTTGATGGTGATAAACATTCCAATGGATGGTCATTGAGCCTCGATGTAATTGAAACTCTTTCTGTTTGAGGGTAATAAATCGCCAATAAAGCGCTGGTATAACGTGTGAGACGGTGAGAAATAAATGTAGAAACCTGCATGCGGACCAATGAAAAATATTTAAGCATGCTTAGAATGTCTTTTACACTCAATATCGGTTCGTTTGGTTGTCCAAAATAAATATTCGCTAAGATAGTGCGATCAGAAGGCCTAGAATTTCAGAAAAAAAATGTGTAGATGGATTTTACAATGGAATCCATATCCTTGAGGGCAAATAAAAGGGCTCTTCATTTCGATATAAGAAAAATTTG